ATGGTACAAATTGTGGTGTTACTGCTGCTGCGGCGGCGGCTGCGGTGCGGGTGAGCGTGAGAAGGAAAATCTTCTCGTATGGAGAAAATGGAACCAGGAAAAAGAAAGTATAACGTGGAGAAAAATAGGCAAAATGTTTGAAGCGGATCACGTAAACGGGCCAAGGGATCAAGTAATAAGTTCAGTTCACTTGCAAATTGTAACGAAATAAGACGACCAACTTTCTCTTGCTTGGGTGGGCGAGCGGGGGAGAAAAAAATAGGCAAAGTTAACGCTTTTGGCTTTTCGAGATGATTTCCCTTTTTTTCTTTAGATAGTAATGTTTTCTTTCGTTCGTTCCTTCTCAATTTTGGGACAAGTGCAACATTTGGTTCGTTTCGAAGCGAGGTGGAAGTAATCCATGGTTCTGTGCGAATTTATGGATGTATGGGTGAAAAAGGATGGCGTTTATAAAACAGTGGGTGGGGAAATGCGAGGAAACGGGGTGTTGGGTATGAAAATTTGGAAGTTCGAGTCAAAAAAAATTTTTGGTTAAGAATTAGTCTCACTTTAGTTTGGTAAATTACGTAAATTATGAATGTGTAAAAATCTATGTACAATTACGTTGACTTTTTACCTTGTTTTGTTCATAGTTTACTGATTTATAAGTGGAATACATTGGGGGTATTCATTACGAGCATATCGTCAGCAACGTTACAACAAGGTTTGCAAATTCGCAAAAACATTTTGGCTTAACAATTCCCGATCTTACGCATCTCGAAGGCTAGCGTTTAGTTCGCAATTTTTTTCAAAATTATGCTGCAATACGAAACTGCCATGAATATCCCCATAGTCTAACTGAAACTTGGTGAAATATTTAGTAAATAAAAACAGAGTAGAAGAAAAACTTCACATTTTGTATTACGAACCTAATCCAGTCACAGTTGGACGTTGCATACAAAAATTGCAATTTGGTCGCATACTGCAGAACTTTCTATGTAACTCAATCTGCCCTGCACATGTACATGCAATTCACTAAATGATCCCTGATCAAATTCCCCTCGAAGGGGATGCATCAACTGCCGGAGCATAAGGGAGCAATTTCGAATTAGTACTAAAACTCAAATCTGGTTGGAATAGAGTGATCTTATGTGATGGTAGGAACGTTTGAATTATTCGTGCTCCTCTTTCCGGCACATTTCCACATTTCATTTCATTTCCCATCTCGATCTGAACGTACGTACATAAAGTGTGACTGTGAGTGTTGTAAATAAGGAAAACATCAGTCTACCTAAAACAGATATCAACATGAGAGAGGAAAATACTTACAGATGCGAATGGCCACTTAAGATTGAGCAAAAGAGATTTACGGAGCAGTTTACTATCTCCTACGACTACAATTTTGCTACATTAAAGAAGAAGAAGAAGAAGGCGGACGATATAATACACGTTCGTTTTGTTCGTTCTACTTTATCCCGTTTGCACTGCCAAACTACTCCTTGTTTACTTAATGTAAATACAAAGTAGGAGAAACACTTAGACTTTGAGAGAGAGAGAGAGCAGTTTTAGCACACTTTGGGGGAGTGTAAGCAAATTCCTAAGTGGCAGTTACATTCGGCAAGATGAAGACGAGTCGTGTTGTTGATAATGTTATTATTTTAGCGAGTCAACAATATTGATGGGGTTGAGAGAGCGGAAGCGACAAATTTTGACAATTGTGTATGCATAGCGTTGTAATTTTTGGAACAAAATGTAAAACTACGAAAGAATGGAGGTCTCCCAGCGTATCCTGTCCGATTTTGAGCAAATAAGTGTCGATTGATCGCAAATTAAAGTAGTATGAAATTCGCAGAAGGCACCATCTCCAAGTGCGCTGGTTTGGCTGAGATATTTGCATCCGAAGAGGAGAAAACGTACCCTCAAGTTGACAAATTGTGCAGTACCCTTTCCAAATTTATTGTGCTATTTCTCCTCTTCGGATGCAAATGTTTCTACCAAACCTAAGAATTGGCACAAGTACTTTTTGCAAATTTCATACCAAATAAATTTGCGATTGATTTGCATTAATTTGGTCAAAATCGGACAGCATACCCTGGGAGACCTCCATTGTAATAGCTTCACACAAACATTTCCTAAAATAATTCTATGTACACAGTCCCTTTTTTCACATCCTGTAATCGTATTATAGTAGTTTTTTAACAAGAGAAAAAAGGCCCCGGAAATCTAAATCGGCTCACAAAGTGTGCCGTTCAGCCTGTTCCATTATTCTATAAACGGGACATTTTCAATCAATTCGTTTGATTAAAACTCACCAGCATGCCTCTGCCTGCCTCTGCTTTTCCCCGACATAATTCATTGTCAACATTATTACGGAAAAAGTTTAAATCGGCTAAGTAACTAAGTTTATCAAGCTGCGTTTGGAGGGAGAAACGAGAAAAGTTAAAACTTTTCACTTATTTTGTTTTGTTTTGCATAAAGGAGAGAAAGTTGGGGAAAATAAGTGAAAGTCTGGGTTGAAGAATTAATTTTGTAATGGATGATGGATGGATAATATGGTAAAAGGAGGAAGTTACCTTGGTCTGGGATCCGTCCTGTTGTTGTTGTTGACTGCTCAAAGACTTAAATAAGTTAAGTTTTGGCTTGCACCTGGGCTGGAAAAGTTTATGAATTTCTTCTTTCAAAGTTTTAAACTCTCGTCCAGCTGCAGCGTATCTTATTCCAAGCAAAACACGTAATTTGAGTTACGCTACGTTTTACTATTGGTGGAAAATGTGACTACCTGAATTTCTACACTCTAAGAAATCTTACCACCGGGTTATCACCGACTGGTGAATATGTGTGGCTTTACCGGTTGGGGATAATATATCACCACTCGGTTACAGCCAGTGGAATTACAATGTGGGAACCCAACACCCGACAACTAGCGGGGTGACAGTCTATCCACAAGAGGAAGCTTACTTTCACCGAAGTGGTAACAACCCCGATTACCGGAGCCGGTGCACTCTCGTTTGTCACCGGAGTTTTACCAACCGGTGCATGCATGTGAATTTTTCGGATGATGATAATATGTCACTCTGTTATAACCGAATCACCACGTGGTAACACCCACCACTATCTCGGTAACAGTGTATCACAAAGCGAAAGCATACTTTTACCCAAATGGTAACAACCCCATTCTGCACCAGAGTCGCGTGTGTCACCCGATTTTTCAGAGTGTACATATTTTATAAAAGCCCGAAATTTACATTTTTTTCACAGATTTTGCACCCGTCTTGGTCTCAATATACATAATTGTTGGTATATTTTGCGCTATATACATATCCGTATCTCGCATCTTTTTCCCAAGTAAGCTCCCTTGCAAGGAAGAGGAGAAGAAGAAGGATGGAGAAAGTGAGGAGCGGAGCGGTTTTGAAAAATGGAACCTGTCGCCATAAATTGTGCCTGCATTATTGGCATCATTGAATATCTAAGGGTGTCCTGTGCCGTGCACCTTCCTCAGATTTACTCCACCTCGTTACCCAATATTGCGTTGGTGTGTCAAGTGAAGTGAATTGAAGAAGCCATCTCATTCTTCCTCCTTCTTGTACTGACTCTGTGTCAAGCCGGGCCTTCTCCCACTCCGGTTTGGTTTGGTTAGTTACTGGCCGGGTTTTTGGTGACAGGAATGAAATTGAATTGAAGGTTTGAGCCGTAGTTGACTCGTGCTCTCCACCCACCCACCCAGTCGCCGCGGAAGGTGTGGGGACATCGGGGGACATAAACATTGTAGGACAGGGGAGGGAGGGGTTTGTATAAGACGGGCAGATGATGGGGACATCGAACAACCGTGGGGACATTGTCCCTCACTTCCGCGGCCACTGCACCCACCCACCGCACACTCACACACACAGTGTGTAAGTAAGGAAAAGAGATAAACTCTCACTCGTCTCACTTTCTCCGAGAGGACAAAGAGAGTGACATCTCAAAACGAGGATGCCCCGTCTCGAGAAGAAATTCATACGTGTATACCTAAGCATCATAGCGAGAGATCATGATCATGAATAAATGGGAAGGTTGCTGGCTGGCTGGGGAATGAATGATATCGGAGGATGCAGATATGGGATGAAACATGAGGAGGAAGTAGGAACAGTTCAATCAAGTTGTTGAGAGCGAGAGAGAGAAAGTTCAATACGCAGATAAATGAGATTCCTCTTCCTTAAGAGGAGCTGAGGTTGAAAGGAAGCAAGGTTTTAAGATTGTATCTACTCACTCCGCACTCCACACACACAAACCAAACCACTCGATGCTCCTTTATACTTATTTTGAAGGAGGAAAACCAAGATTGAACGAATATCGTAAATTTTAACTCGATAATATATAGGGACGTGGACGACGTGGAAGCGATTTATGGGATTATATGGATGTATGGATGGATGGTGCGTATATAGTATTTGATCGCGTTGTGGGATCAGCTATATGTATTTATTAGTGACGAAAGGCGACTGAATCGATGGTATTGATTGTGTTATAATCAATAATTGTGGTTTAATTGGATCATCTTAGAATGGAGGTGTCCGAGCGTATGCTCTCAGATTTTGACCAAATTAGCGTGAACCGATCACAAATTTAAGCAGTGTGAAATTTACGAAAGACATGATCTCCAATGGGCAGGTTTGGCAGGGATAGTTGCATCCGAGGAGGAGAAAACGCGCCCTAAAGTTGATAAATTTTACACTTTCCAAATTTACTGCGCCCTTTCTCCTCTTCGGATGCAAATATCTCCGCCAAACCTGCGCATTGGAAGATCATGTCTTTCGCAAATTTCATCCTAATTAAATTTTGGATCGATTGACACTATTTGTCTCAAAATCTAAGAGCATACGCTGGGAGACCTCCATTGTACATATGAGACTTGAGACTATTATTGTTTCTCCTTGTGGTTGGTATCTTCCTCTCTATCTATTTTAACATTATGATAGATTAATGATGCCAATATCCGCCCTAGATTTAACACATTTCTCTTCTCATTGTTTCAATTCCAGATAAGAAGAACCTCTCCGTGACCCAGATTGCACATGCAAGAACCCGAAAAGCGTCTGGATTTCACGATCTGGCTCGATAACTCTGTGTCCAAATAAGTCCCTTCAATTCCCTTCCAAACGGAAACCATATACTGTGTCGATCTCCATCTTTCGATCCATCGAACCGAATTCCCACCTATAAATACATACCGTCACATTATCACCACTGGGAACAAATGAATGCCACCTTTCTCCAGAAAAAAGTCCACAAAGTACAAAAGACTTTCCTCCACATTCCTAAAACTTCAAACGCATAATACAACTCAACAATCACCACCACGAAGCACATGCGTGTGCACATTTTAAACTAAGTCATTCTCGCCCTAGTTTCCATTACATCGAGTGACTTTCTAAATACTTAAGCCGTCTAAGGAATCACTTATGTAAATATTTACCCTCCCAACTTTCCAAATTGTGACGAATTCATGAGCAGGAAGTGAACTGAGTGAGTGAAAGTGAGACGCTATTATACTGAAACTTCTGTCAGCCCGAGATAGTGTTGTACCTGTATCAATAAACAAACCTCCTCTCAAAATAACCACACCACGATGCGCGGCATTCTCATTCTTCTCAGCGTGATTACAATCAATTGTCAAAATGTGAATGAGAACTCGACGACGAGCCATTTCCTCCCGGAGCCGGCGGGACTTTCTTCCTCCTCCTCGAGTGGGGGAGGGGGACGCCGGAGTGCCGATGATACCGATTACGACCACCAAGACCCCGAAGTGGGGGAAGTGGACGACATTTTGCTCGGCGAAGGGAAAGGGTCGCCGTTCGAGAGTGGTCGAAATGGAGGAACTGAATCGTCCACCACCACGACGACAACGACGACGACCACGCGATCTCGCATAGTGGAGACCAAGTATGGGAAACTGCAGGGGATGAGCATCACGATTGGGGCTCAAGGGAGACATAATCCGTTGAAAAACAAGATTGTTGAGGTAAGCGAATTCCATTTTATTTTACCCACCGGGCTCTGCGGGGAGCGATTTTCAAAGATAAGGAAGAAAGTGGACTTTCCATAAAATCCGACCGAGCCCCATATAATCTTTATAATGGGGGTTTTGTTTGATGAACAAGCCTGGAACAGTGGGTAGTAAATGGATAAAGCTTAATTTTACGGGGGACGATGAGAATAATGTCTCAAATACGAAACATCCACTCAGGATAAAATCTGGGGTGTAATTCAGACTAAATTATGAACATGCACCACTTTTTCCGTACTTTTACTCTCTAACCTTATCTGCACCTCTTAAATTTAAAGTTTGTTTGACCTGATTAAGTATTACGTAAAAAAGGGAACCAGTTTATTCTTTTCAAGTGTAAAGAACTAGAAGTGGCAAAGTTATTGGGGGGAATAAAGTTTCCGGAAATTTTGTAGGAAACATCTTGTTCAAATAAGTAAGGCGACTTGTGTCCAAATGCTTGCCCACAAATTTGAAACAGTTTTGAAAAGGACAGAACACTGCTTTTACGTAGTACACGTTTCATATTTAGGAGAGAGGGACAGAGCAGTTCTCGCAATGCAAATCCTTTAACCACAACGATTCATTTTCGCCAACCACATCTGCAAATGACACATGTGTGGCAGGCAGGCAGGCTGGTCGTGCAGTTCAGTTCTGTGTACTCAAAACACTATAGTTTTAATTCCTTCATTTCGACTTTGGCGACAACGACGACGACGCCGACTAACAACTCATGTGTCTAGTGCTTTGTGGTGCTAAACCTTTCTCAGCCATAACCCGAGCTCTCTCTCTAACTCTCCAAAAGTGGAGTGTTTCAGTGGACGCGGAAGATAATTTGGACCGTGGGGACATATTTTATAAGCCGATCGCGAAAAATTTTCCTTGCGTATTTTCAAGCTCAAGAATTTTTTTGAAAAAATACTGTATTTGAAAGAAATTAATGTTAGTATGATTAAACAGTAATCTAAAAGTTAAAAGATACGCAATTTCCCTTAAGATTAAAAAAAATTAGAAAAATCAAAATCTAGCTATTTATTACAAAATGAATTGCATATTTGAATGGCTTTAGTTATAAATGTAATCAATTATCTGGAAAATGGGTTGGAAAATGTAAAGGCAATATTATTAGCGTATTGGCATACAATTTTTAACTTTGAGTTGATTGTATAAGGTCGATGCTCTTGTACCTCAGTCCCCACCAGCCCGTGGGGACAAATGCATTTCATATCTCTACCACAAAGTTTTTCCCGTTGTCCCCATGCTTCCGCAGCCACTGGTGTGTTTAACAGGTTGGCAGTGTTTAAACCAAGAGCTCTATGTATGTCTGGTTTCCAGGTCTATGTTGGGATTCCGTACGCTTCCGCACCTATTAAATCCCATCGATTTGGCCCAACGCAAACAGCAATGCCGTGGGAAGGAGTGAGAGACGCAGTGAAGCCGGGATTCGTGTGTCCTCAGGTTGGTTCACTTCACAGTTAATTAATTAAATAATTAAGTGTCCTCGCTCTAAGTGATGAGTAATTAGTTGGAGGGGGAGAAAGCAGGGACGAGCACAAAATTAGAGTGCCACCACGGCCATCAACAAATCTTGTAATGTTTCCATTACGCACAGCAGAGATTGATTATAATCAACCAACCGCAAAACAGGCACATTTTTTTTATTTGTTCAATTTTTAGCCCGAGTCAGGGTTTATCTGTCTGTCTATCGGTTACGCTCGTATAACTTATCCAATAGACTTGAGATTTTGCACACACGTAGAACATGCAAAATCAAAAATTAAGCTGGAAGATTAGAAAAATACGTCAAAAAATAAAAAAATTGTAGTGGTGTGAAAATAATTGGGGTACAATTAAAATCTGAGAGCATAAATATACGACTCTACCGCTATGGTTATAAATTTGCCACCGACAGGTTATAAATTTATCACCACCGGTAACAAATTTATAACAAGTTTTGATACGATTATATCGAGTCGGTGGCAAATTTAAAACCAGTTATATATCTTTACTTGCTGGTTATAATCGTAACCCAATTATTCTCAGTGCACCACAATTTTTATTTTGTTGATAACAACCTGACTCGGGCTGAGTAAGGCTGCAATGTGAACTTTTTTTTTGCACAGGAATTTATCTCGCAAAAAATATATCCTAAATTTGTCCGTACAAATATAAATCGCATGTATGTACCTCATACAACTTTTTCCTCTTTTTGATCTCCTACACTTTCTCTTTTTCCCTCTTTGCAACCACACTACCCTCATCAAAGACTGCAATTCATCCGCTGAGCAGGGCACAAGCGATTCTATTGTGTTATGCAGTTCCTTTTTAACCTGGGAATGCCTCCTGGGCTGGTTTCCTTTTAAATGGATGAGCACCACTCTCGGCCTGAATGCAATGCAGTCAAGCCAGGAGAAAGAAAGCAAATTGCTTTTATTAATGGAACATGTATCCATCCAGTCAGGTTTAGATTGGAAGTGTGACAAGCATGTCAGGAGATCATTTTAGTAAATTGGAGTGTGGTGGTGGTGGTGGTGGGCCAGATTAAATAACGCGATATGTGTACTTGTTATTGTGCCGTTTATGAAATATTAAACCAATTCTGGATTTGTTTAATAAAGATGATGCCGGATATCCGGAACGAGTCGGCGGCTCTCAAGGAAATGCCCCGTGGTTATTTGGAGTACTTGAAAAAGGTGGAGCCATACCTGCGGAATCAATCGGAAGACTGTCTCTATCTCAATATCTACAGCCCAATTGGTAAGTGAACCCATGTATATAGTAAAAAGTTTTTGTTGTGTATGCAGAGTAAGCTTTGCAACCCCAAAACCTATAGTGGTCCTCTCTAAATAATGTGGTAACAAATTTGTCACCAAGGTTGGGGACTATCTAATTTTACGACTAATGGAATTGGCAACTTTTTTAAAATCTAATGGTACACTCTTAGAAAACTGGTATTAAATAATTACTGATCGGAGTACATACACATATAATTCTATCTGTAATAATGGGCTTTACCGTTCAGTAATGTTGTGGTAATGAAAAATTTACCACTTACAACCAGTCTGGGAGGGAGTTATTACCAAATCAATACCGGTACGGAGTATATATGCGAATCTACCAGATTTTTAAAGTAGCAATAAGTTTGCATGAAACTCGAATTTATCAACCTGCCGTGAGAAATTGACTATAACGGTAACAAATCTCAAATTTGTTACCAGAATCGCATTTATTTTACTTGCACTACCATTTTATTGCAACATATTTAGAATGCAGCTACACAAATATTTCCTGGTATTTCCTTCTTTCTACGTCTGCAGTTCCATTTATTTAAAAATTTATTCTCCCAGACATACCAGAGACCAACTTGTTACTCATCCTTTTCATCTTTCCCTCTGCGCCTAAACATTACGACAGTTTATATTCCGCACACCAACTTCCAACTACTTTAGTCTGGGATTGTTCCCGTATTTATCTTTGCCCAATTTCCCCTTCTCTATTTGTCTTGCTAATGCCGCTCTTCAGCTTCAACTCGAGATTTCACCCAAGTAAAACAGCGATTTAAAGTGAAAGTTTTAAGCAAATGTGACCCATCCATCCATCCGGCGTCTGAAAGGGTTGTTCTTGTTGACAAATTTTGACTCAAGTTCAAAGAGACTGCAGAGAGGGGAACCGTGTAAGAGGAAAAACATTTATTTAATGAAACGGATATAGCATGAATTTTTAATTGAACCACTTCATTCCACGCACCCGGAAAGCAGGGAGCAGAGGAGCGGCTCAAAGAATGCAAACACACTTTCCCGAAGAGGACGTGAAAGTAGATAATGTTTGGATTTGTTGAGTGCTTGTGGTGTTTAAAAGGTTCTTCTAAACACAACTAAATTAAAACCACAGTCGGCAATTGGTAATGAAATGGCGGCGGTGGTGGGAAATGAGTCAAAATCAATTAAAAGTAATAAGTAGCGTGGCGTCAGTGATGGTGAAAGTAGTGGGAATATTATTAATCTCGGGAAATGAGGAATTATAAATAAACTAGTTAGGAATGGAGGCATCCCAGCGTATGCTCACAAATTTTGACCAAATTATTGGAAATCAATCATAACTCTAGGTAATATGAAATTTGCAAATTACACTTTCTCCCAATGGGCACATTTTGCAGAGATATTTGCAACCGAAGAGGAGAAAAAACGCAGTAAATTTGGAAAGTGTAAAATTTGTCAACTTTGGGGCGCCTTCCTCTTTGGATGCAAATGTCTCCGCCAAATCTGCGCTTTGAGAGATCGTGCCATTTGCAAATTTCATGCGAACTAAATTTGCAATCGATTCCGACTAATTTGACCAAAAACTGTGACCAATCGCTGGGAGACCTCCATTACCCGTAATACTGAAAAGATTGGGAAAGAGAAAGCATCATTCCCCCAACTAAATTATTTATTATTGCATCGCACCATTACTGGTATTTGAATCGAACTTATTTTCAGATGATAAAACGGCGATTGTTTTTTCTTTCGTCTGGTGAAAGTTTGCTGGACGGGATTAGTTTTCCCTTCACCACGCGAGACAGTGAGCCGATCCCTTTCTCTCTTTCCCTGGGATTTGACTTGACACGAGCCAAATCTGTAAATGGGAGAATGAGGCTAATACTTGGATAATAATACTAATTCCATGCTTCACCCAACTTAAAGACGTAAGTGTTGAGTGAGCAGAACTTTTCCCGGGCGGATGTTGAAGAAGAAGAATCTTGAAAATGGTCATGTTTAATTTTATACTGTCCAAAACCCCGAGTGAATTCCCGTAGGATAGATTTTATCCAGATTGAATTTTAACCAAGTACCGTAATTTGCCAGAGATGGATAAGGGAGTTATTTTGGAAAAGTGAAAGTGTAGAAAATTGCTCAGGGTTTAGAGTTTCAATCAAGATTTTCTCATTAATCGGATCCAAGTCGGGTCCAATCTTGCGTGAAAACTCGACAGTTCTCCTTTATTAAATGGGCGATTTGCTGCAGTTTACTCGTAGGTTTACATTTACGGAGGAAGAGAGAGGGAGAGGCAATCACGAGTTGAGTGATACACGCAAACTTTGTCTATTTACTTTCTCCAGAGAGAAAGAGAGAGAGAAAGAGAGCGAAGAATGTGCAGCGCGACTTTCTTTTCCGTTTTATATCCTCCGGATTATAAGAGACTTTCGCGAGAGAGAAAGCAATCCTGATCCGTTTGCTGAAATGCTGTCTTTTTACATTCTTGATGGATATTTGGGCACCAAAATGGTCCGGATTCGGCCTAATTTTATCCTCTGAAGAAAGTCTACATTAGTTTAACATGTTTGTGTTAAAAAGTTGTAAGAAAAATATGGCTTGCGTAATATTTAGATAAGTGTAAGTAAATAACAACGTAATCCAAGATAGAAAATGTCAATTCCTAGATACACTCTAAGAAATTTTACCACTACCACCGAATTATCACCAGCAAGTGACTTTACCGGACGGTAAAAATTATGTCACCACTCGGCTACAAGATAGGAATCACGACGACCACTAGCTCAGTCTATTACAAAACGGAAGTATATTTTCACCGAAATGGTAACAACCCCTATAACCTGTAGTCAAATTTACCGGCTCATTTTTTAGCGTGTACAACCACCCTTATCGGCTCTCCTTTCGTCAAGTTTTTGCTTAATGGGACACTTCGCAGTTGACGGTGTCGCCCGAATTGGTTTCAAACTACCAAAGGGACACAATCACGACGCGTCGTCGACGTAATAATACACGTCGACTTTATTCCCTTTCGTGAAAGGATATAGTTTGAACTTTGTACATGCCGACGGATCCACTTCATTGCCAGATTAGGCTGCTCAATCCGTGTCTGGATCAATTTCTTGGAATCGTTCTCGTGATAGATTTCTCTCTCCAATCGAGTTAAAAATTGGACAAGTATTACGCAATTGTAGGCAAAGAAATTGCTTGGCTTGCTCAAATAAGTAAGTAGTAGATACACTTTTTCTATGTGTATGTATGTAGTTATCTAGTTAGATAACGCTAGTGATGGATGGTTAGTTAGTTGGAAGTGAAAATCCTACTGTCACTGGTCAATTACTGCGACTGCTACTACCACTCTTGCAGAAAAGCGAGTTGTTCAGCCAATTTAAACCGAGTAAATAAACGCATTTGCCAAATCGTTATATAAAGACGAGAAGTGCATTTGAGTGGAGAAAGGTCAATACGATCGGAAGAAAATCCTTGTTAAATATAAATGATCTCGGATTCTTTTTCACATCTCGTTTACTCAACTAACAAGAAATAAAGTCACAAATCAGGTCGCTAAAAAAACTTTGAGAGAGATTTACTCGTTGGTGTCAGTCTATTTTATTTTATCGGAGAGAGAGAAGAGCAAGGAGACGGTTCAAATGAGCAAAACGACTTTATTAGAGTAACAAGGTGCAATATTGGTAAAGTGAAATGTTGTCATTACATCAAGAGTAAAATTGGGGTGGAAAAAAGCAGAGAGAGAAAGAAGGCAAGAAAATTCTCAAATTGGTTGTGTTGTAAAGAAAAATGTCACATTTGTTAAATTGGGTGAATCGTCCGACTTGCTCAATTCTTAAATTTTGTATGTGAAAGAAACTGTTATCGAGTTGCGAGTTCTGAGATATTTTTAACCTAAACAAGCCTTATTTAACTTGTTTATCAATTTAGTTAATTGCTGAAACTTCCAGTGAAAAGTCGGAAAATTTAACACGACTTGCTCAGTTCCAAAATTTTGAAAATTGCGTAGTGGAAAGATCGAATTGCAAATTCTGAGATATTTTTAACCTAAACAAGCTATACAATATTATTTAACCGGTTTATCAATTTGGTTAATTTTGAAGGGTATTTACCCATTTCTGGAGAAAACTTCGACTGAAAAATTAAATCATTCCAAGATTCACAAATTCGCAATCCCTCTAGATTGGTTACATTTTGTAGAAAGTTTTTCTGCCTGATTTTCCCTCCTCGTCGTAATGATGTAAGTAAAAAGAGATGACATAAAAGGATCACCAATCAACATGAAATCCTTCCGTTTTGAAGAATAATAATATGAACCTGGAGTTAAGTTGGTTGAGTCGAGTCAACTTTCTCCGTCCGTGAGTGATGAATGGAACGGGGCTTAAAGAAGGAGAAAGTGAAAAGGCGGAGAAAGTCAAGTCAACGTGGAGCGGCAGGAGTAACGGGGTTCGTCCGTAATTCCAATTTCCGCCCGGGCAGGAAATGAAATGACAGCAGCCATCTCGTAACCACACGTCTTGTCAGGCCTACCAACTAATAATGCACGACACAAGGACGACGACATGGAGGGAGGCTGATGCACCGTCTGCTGTTCTCAAGTGGGGGGGATTAGCCCAACATCACGGGAATCGTCTCCTACCACTACTCCTGCTGCTGCTGTAGTGTTGATTTAAAACGAATACCTCCTGCTGCTCTGGCTGGCTGAGTCAGCTTGAATAAGGGAGAAAGTCGTATTGGGGAGGGAGAAAGTTAAAAAAAATCACCTCTAGTGCAAAGTCTTCATTTAGCCCGAGTCAGGGACAGGGTCGACTTACAAATTTTTGTCCAAATTGACCAAAGGCTTAATGTTTGTTCCATAATTTTAATATTTTGCACCAAATTTTTAAGTATTTCCAAATCCTTCGCATTGACTAATGGAGGGACTCGCTATCTTAAATTTTAAGCCTCCAAAATTAAATTTGCTAGACAGAAGTAATTCTTAATCTTCACACGAAATTT